AATATTTTTATATATATATATATATATATATATATATATATATATATATATATATATATATGGTTAAGTTTTACATGTATATGGTTAAGTTTTACATATACAGGGTGTCCCGGATCATCTTCAGAATCTCTCGTGAGGACATAAAGCGGATTGAGATGAACACAAAAGTCCCATGCCGTTTTGCGATATTCGCAATAATAGTCGAGATATTAATCAAAAAAGATTGATGAATGATCACGCACGATGTGGTAGATGAGCTGCAGTGGCACCGTCTGCCACTGTATACTTATATATTAAGTCAAACTAAATAAAAAAGTCCTCTACCATTTTGCAAATGAGCATAGATTTTTAGATGCAATCGATTTTTAGATATTAATTAAAGGAAATTTTTACATGATTGTGTATCATAACATACAAATTTTCTATAATTAATATCTAAAAATCTATGTGGTCATTTGTAAAATGATAGAGGACTTTTTTGTTCAGTTTGATTTAATGTATAAGTATACAACGGCAGACGGCAGACTGCAGCTCATCTACCATATCGCGCGTGATCATTCACCAATCTTCTTTAATTAATATTTCGACTATTATTGCAAATATCGCAAAACGGTATGGGACTTTTGTGTTCATCTCAATCTGCTCTACGTCCTCACGAGAGATTGTGAAGGTGATCCGGGATACCTGTATACGGTTAAGTTTTCAAAGTAAAACAAAGCGACACATATACAAAACAACAACACATTTACATAAGATTTATATATAAGAAATATAAAAAAAATAGCGTGATTGTGTTAGTGACGATTGTTTCTATGTTATCGACATTATTAGAAATCGTCATCGACTCCAATATCATCTTGACAACTCAAAACTTTACATAACTGCGAAATGGTAGAGGAATTTTATGTCCACTTTTTTCTTTACCTGCACACAATGTATGTCATAAATTATGAGACGGTCAATAGAATACCTTCGTAGAATAATAAATACCTTCCTAGAATAATAAATCATTCCTTCACCTCTTCCCGACCTTCGATGTATGAAAAAAGGAAAGCGTTAAATTCTTTGTTCTTCGTTCAAATTGAAGGTCTCGCATATCACGGTACACCGTGTTGTGGTGCTGCCGATATCGGCATCCTAACGACGACACTTAAGCCGCGCTGAAGATGAACACGTTTGGCGAATTAGCGCGTAAATTCGCGCAAAAGGCATTAGTGCCGTTTCACGAGCCGCCAAGGGGGTTGATCGCTCGCTCGCTCGCTCACTCGGACCCTCACGCTTCTGCATTGTTTCGCCTGGAGCGTAACGCTCGGCGTGGGCCGCGATTCGATCCACAATCCCACCCGAGAGCGACCCACACTGGCAGAAGCCCGCCGCGCGGCGTTCGCGCGAAACTCGCGTCTGTAGGTACACCGCACGCGCGTGCATTCTCCGACCCTCAACCACCGACACGCGACGTGCCGATACGCCTGGAGCGAGGGATTTCCTCAATAGGCGCATCGCTCCGGAGTACGGCACCCGATACAAAAGGATGAATAAATTATCCCCCCGTACAAGGACGTCGTCCTCTAAGAGGATTGCAAAAATACCCTTCTCGTGAAAATACCCTATCTCTCTCTCTCTCTCTCTCTTTCTCTCCTCGCTTCTTTTTTTCTTTCTTTCTTTCTCCCTATCTTTATGATTCCCGCGACATTTATATTAATTGCTCATCGTAATGATTTATACAACTCGAACGAGACGCTTCTCTCTCATTTGACAAATTATAAACAGTATTACTCAATCGGAGACCTTTACAGTGTTTCCTTCTTCCTTTTTTTTTTTTTTTTAAAGGGCCCGGTATTCGCTAAATCCGACACTGCGCGTCCGTAGAGCTCGCGTGTGTATTCCGCGGGCTGTGCGGACGCCTTTCGGGGTGCACGCGTGAATGTACCACGCGCGCGCGTGGACGCGCCGTTCGTGCGTGCACGCGCGGATGCGTGGGTGCGTGCAACGCGCGAGAGATGCGCAGGACGACTATTCAGATATTGTTGTTATTGTTGAGGGAACAATCGCCCGTCAATAGGCCGCCTCGGCACAATGTATCTATTCAGGTGCGGTCAGCGGTGCTCAATCGATCAGGATCCACCCCTCGCGAGAGTCTCGAAAAAGCTCCGCGCGCGCGCACGCCGTCGACGAAGACCACCGTCGGTTTTGCAATGCGCGTCGCGCAAGTTTACGTACATGTAACAGTTTACGACGTAGCTGTCGTTGATTGGGCCCACTTGTGCGTGAAGCAGGTGAGTGTGTTTACGTTTCATGTGTATGCACCTGTTATTGAAGATACTGAGTGAAAATAATTCCAATAGTTCGCACGTGTTCATCTATTTCTACTGTAAAATATTATGATATTCATGTGTTGAAATTATTAATATTTTAAATAGAGAAACGAGATGAAATTAATTTTGAGATTGTATCGCGAAATAACAAATTTAAATTTGCGTCTGAGTCAATTTGTATTTTCAATGTGAGCTATTTTGTTAAATTTTATATGTATTTTACAGCTCGTATAGTATTTCTTCATTGCTTAAAATGATTTAGATGATTACTTAAGTGAAGCACAGGTAAATTCGACTGTTCAAAGTAACAATATATGCACACAAAGTGCGATTGCAATGGCTAGATGCGAAATCATCGCGTGAAAACTCGATCCTATTGATTATCCGATCCTATTAAAATCGAAACACTAACACTACAATCGCAATCCGTAATAAAGCACACTGATATTCAGAATCGGCTCGCGCAGACTTCAACTGACAATCATTTCGTTTAACTAAACTCCTCATTGCTCTGCCTATATGGCAGTTGACCCGTCGCTTTTCACTTCAATATTGAAAGTAAACGATAATAACCTCTTTTTCATTTAAAAAAATACACAGGGTATCTCAAAGATGAGCGCGAGAGTTCAGCACGATCGTTGGTCCCGGCGCAGTTGAAACATATCCCGACGATAGCCGCTTGAATTACCGCCGTTTAAACGCATTACGCTATTGCTCCGATTGAAAAGCGAGCTGAGCACACGCGAGGATGAGCCGCCTATCGCTCGCGACCATTATTGCTACGCAATGAGGACGGGATTTGAGCCGACAAACGGACCGCCGTGTCACGGTGACACGGCATTAGACGTGCCTCAAAAGAGGTCCGGCTGGGCTAGCCGGAGAAAAAGAGGCCGAGTGAGAGCCACTGCCGCGAGCGAGGGTACCGGAGCTCCGCGGCTATAGCGATGATTACGTATGCGGGAATCATTGTCGAGTAACGCGCGATGCACATGCAAAGGCCAAAAATCGTCGAAATCAGTCGAGTTCAACATCAGCATTGTACCTGGGCTTTGTCTCTGCCTCATTGTTGTTGGTCGGTACTCTCTTCTCTCTCTCTCTCTCTCTCTCTCTCT